CCCTGCCAGCTGCACCTGCTTCTGCTCAGCCATTGTGTTATGCCTGTTATCAACATGGCCACACACTCCTAAAATGCCCAGAGTTTCTGTCTCTCCTAGAAGACAATGCTTCTGAGCCTGAGCCAGAGCCTGAGCCTGAGCCTGAGCCTAGGCCTAGGCCCAGAAAGGGTGCAGTCAAGTCTGAAGTGGCCACTCATACAAGCCTTCTCTCCCACTCCACTGCAGACCCTGAGTTGAGATGGATTGCAGATTCTGGTGCCACATCACACATGACACACTGTGTGCACCTGCTGCAGAACACTCGTCCTCATAGGGCACCCATCAGAGTGGCTAATGGACTCGTGGTCTATTCAGAGCTTGTGGGGGAGATAGTGCTTAGGCCACTGATCCATGGACATGCCAGGAGCCGGTCTGTGATCCTCTCCAATGTGCTCTATGTCCCTGCTCTGTCACACAATCTGTTGAACACAGAAAACTCAGATGGGAGCCGCAGGAGGCTAGGGGCACAGATGGGAGGCGAAAAGCCCAGTAGGTCACATTGATCTGATGCTATATACTATGCGTCACAGAGTAATGTCACACCCTTTGTCCGAACCAAGCACATACAATATCCACACATCAACACAATCTGATCTCCACTACATACCTGTCAGTTCACCATGACTACACTGTGCTCATGAAGGAAAACTACATCCTGTTCAAGCGCAATGGTGAAGTGTACTTTGTGGCAGATATCTCAGAGCAGGGTCAGGCATTTGTGAGAGAGACTGGTTTCCCTTCTGCTGGTTCAGCACTGGTCTCTACAGCTGGGACTCTTCCCATTGACCTCAGCCTGATGCACAGGCGGCTTGGACATCACAGTGATACCAAGCTAGTCATGGATAAAGAGCTAGTTACTGGTGTGAGGCTTGCCTCTGCTAGGAAGCCAGACCCCATCTGTGAGCCATGCCTCTTTGGCAAGCTGAATGCTGGCCTGTTTCCTTCAACTGGTCATCGTTCTGGAGCGCCTCTTGATCTCATTCACTCTGATCTAAAGAGCTACTCTGTGCCCACCCGCGAGGGCTGGAAGCACAGGGTGACTTTTGTTGATGATCACACTGGCTTCAAGGTAGCATACCACATGAAGAACAAGAGTGAGACATTTGCAGCCCTTAAGATGTTTCAAGCGTATGCTGAGACTCACTGGGGGCTCAAGATCAAGGCATTCCAGGACAATAAAGGGGGAGAGTACATGTCTAATGAGTTCAGATCACATCTGGACAAGTGTGGCATTGTGCACCGCCATTCAGTCAGGGCACGGCCTCAGCAGAATGGGACAGCAGAGCGGTCTAACCGCACCGTTGATGAGCACTCCACTGCCATGTTACACGAAGCCAACCTGCCCCCTGCATTCAGGGCACTGGCGGTGTCTGCATACATCCATGTGTGCAACATGCACCCCACAGCTCGAGACCCCACCAGGACTCCCCATGAGCTGTGGTTCAAGGCAAAGCCTGATGTGTCTCATCTGCGTGTTTGGGGATGCCTTGCCTATGTGCATGTGCAAAGAGACAAGAGAGGTCCTTCTGGGCATCATGTCCAGAAGTGTATCTTTGTAGGCTATCCTGCAGGGTACAAGGGATGGTTGTTCTTCAACCCAGAGACCCGGAAACTCGTTATCGCTGAGAGAGCAGTGTTTGATGAGCGCTACTTCCCAGGCAGCACCCCTCAAGCGATGAGGAGCTGTCCTGTGGCACCCCCCTCCTCCATGCTGGTGGATCCCCCTTGTGCTCCGGCACCGGTGTATGTCCCTGATGACGATGGTGATGATGAGCAGCAACAGCCGCCTGCTCGTCCTCTCCCTGCACCACGAGTTCCCTCTTCTGCAGCCAGCAGTGATGATGAAATCGACTTCTTGTGTCGAGCTCCACCACCTCCATCTCCACCACCAGCTGGGGATGCCCCGCTTCACCCTCTACCCTCGCCTCCTCCTCCCCAATCTCCAATTGGGGTGGCAGCTCGTCGTGCTGCTGCTGGCATCCATCGTGTCCCTGCACCACCCAGGAGGGCTCCAGCTCCGGCTGCTGCTCCTCCCAGGCGCACTATGGCAGAGATCTTTGAAGAGATCCCTGAAGACCTCAGCGACGATGAGCTGCTTCTGAAGTCATCCTCAGCCCTGATTGTGGCTCGCGAGGGTGATCCCTCAGATCCCAAGCTGGCAGCAGCTCACGCTACTGCAGTGCAGTCTGTGTTGTCTGCTGTAGCCTCTGGGAACCCCCGGTCGTTCTTTGAAGCGTCCAAGCGGGAGGATGGTCCATTATGGCGCGCTGCAGCTGCATCTGAGATTGACTCTCTGCTCAGCAACTGCACATGGGATGTGGTCGACTTGCCACAAGGGGTCAAGCCAATTCGCTCTCAATGGGTGTTTGTGATCAAACACAAGTCTGATGGCACTGTGGAACGCTACAAAGCCAGACTCGTGGCAGATGGTCGTGGCCAGCGCTATGGCATTGACTACCACAAGGTGTTTGCACCCACCTTCAGACCTGCTACTCTGCGCGTCATCCTTGCGCTTGCAGCCCAGAACAACCTCAAGCTGCGCTCCATCGACTTCTCTTCTGCCTATCTGAATGGGGACCTGGATGAGGATGTCTACATGACTCAGCCAGAAGGGTTCCCCCAGGGAGAGAAGGGCCAGGTCCTGAAGCTGAACTGGTCCATCTATGGGCTGAAGCAGGCTGGCCGCCAGTGGCGCATCAAGTTGGTTGCCAAGCTAACTGCCATGGGGTTCAAGTGCATCAAGTCAGACAGCTCCTGCCACATCTACTCTGATGGTGTGGTGCGCGTGATCCTGCCCATCTATGTTGATGATGGCACCATTGCTGCAAAGCATGATGCTGACATTGACAGGGTCATTGCCCAGCTTGGCACGGCCTTCAAGGTGCGGGATCTGGGTCCTACAGAGTGGCTTCTGGGGATCAAGATAGAGCGTGATGAGCACACTGGAGACATCAGCATCTCCCAGCGCCAGTATGCTGTGAACCTTCTGGAGCAATATGGCATGGCTGACTGCAAGCCTGTGGACACCCCCATGCTGCCTGGCCTGTCTCTGACCAAGGAGATGGGAGCCAAGACTGAGGAGGAGTCCAAGCAGTTCAAGGGCAACTATCTGTCTGCTGTTGGCTCCCTGATGTACCTGGCCTGTCAGACTCGCCCTGACATCTCCTATGCTGTGGGGGTGCTAGCGCGCTTCAATAGCAATCCTGGTGAAGAGCACTGGAAGGCTGTCAAGCACCTGCTTCGATACATCCAGGGCACCCTTGACTTCCGCATCACCTACTCCAAATCCTCTCCCACCCTATATGACCCAGCCACCCACATCCATCCTGACGACCTCTTCACCACCTTCACTGATGCTGATCATGCTGGAGACAAGGACTCCATGAAAAGCACTGGGGGGTATGTCATTATGATGGCTGGTGGACCAGTAAGCTGGAGGAGCAAGCTGCAGTCCACCATCTCTCTGTTGATAAAATGGCTGAACCAGGAATTGAACCTGGGACCTCTGACTTGGATCGTCCAGTGCTCTAACCACTGAGCTATTCTGCCTTGGTGCTGGGATTCCCAACTCCAACACTCTCTGTCCACCACTGAGGCAGAGTATGTGGCTGGTGTGGATGCTGGGAAGGAGATCAAGTGGATGCGGAATCTGCTGCATCAGCTAGAGCATGGTGTGTCTGGGGCTTCTCCCTTGATGATAGACAACCAGTCTGCCATATCTGTGTCCAAGAATCCTGAACACCATGGGCGTATGAAGCATCTGGACCTTGCACACTACTGGCTCAGAGATGAAGTGGCCAGAGGGTTCATTGATGTAAAGTATGTGCCAACGCAGGACCAGCTGGCTGACATCCTGACCAAGGCGCTGCCTCGGCCTCAGGTGGCAAGGTTGCGCACACTGATGAGATTGCGGGGGAGAGGCTGAGAGACTGATCTCATCCCGGGGGAGTGTTGAGGATGGGTTTTGGACTTAATCACTCTCTGGTGATTGGGTCACATGATCACCCGATTCCATCTGATCTTATCACTGATTCCATCACTAATGATATCTGATTCCATCATTGTTCCCATCATTCCATCATTCTGGTCACATGACTCCTGATCACATGATTCCTATACAGTCACATGCTCTATCCACATAGATAGTTCCTTCCTCCCTGGAGTTCTTCAGCTTCTTACTGTTGACTCCAGGTCTGTAGATTCTTTTCTTGTCTTGTCTTGCAATGCAGAGCTTCTTACTGTTGACTCCAGTCCTCTCTGCATTTCCTGCTTCAACAGGTTATGGGCCCCTGCCTCTAGAGTGCCTCTGAGTCATCTATTCTGAGATTTTCGAGTTTTTTCCATTCTCTGATTTTCTCTGCCTGCTGCCTGCCTGCCCCAGTCCTGCTACTGCAGTTGACATCTCTGCTCCCTGTTCTGTTCTCTTTTTCCTCTGCTCTTATAGTGTCTGTGGTTCAGGCACTAGTAGTTGGGACTCTATCCTTAAGTGGGTGTGCTCTTTGGTCCATCAGGAAATACCAGGTAGTCATTCCTGTGATCCTGAGGTTGAGACAGCTAGGTGCCTGAGATCAACACACTCCTGAGAGCCTGTAGCTACATACATACATCTCCTACATCATTCTGGGCGCATTTTTGAGCACAGCATGGCATCAAATTCCCACTCTCATCCATCAGTCTTTTCTCCTTCTGCTGCCCTGGCAGCTGCACCTGCTTCTGCTCAGCCATTGTGTTATGCCTGTTATCAACATGGCCACACACTTCTAAAATGCCCAGAGTTTTTGTCTCTCCTAGAGGACAATGCTTCTGAGCCTGAGCCAGAGCCTGAGCCTGTGCCTGTGCCTAGGCCTAGGCCTAGAAAGGGTGCAGTCAAGTCTGAAGTGGCCACTCATACAAGCCTTCTCTCCCACTCCACTGCAGACCCTGAGTTGAGATGGATTGCAGATTCTGGTGCTACATCACACATGACCCATTGTGTGCACCTGCTGCAGAACACTCGTCCTCATAGGGCACCCATCAGAGTGGCTAATGGACTTGTGGTCTATTCAGAGCTTGTGGGGGAGATAGTGCTTAGGCCACTGATCCATGGACATGCCAGGAGCCGGTCTGTCATCCTCTCCAATGTGCTCTATGTCCCTGCTCTGTCACACAATCTGATCTCCACTACATACCTGTCAGTTCACCATGACTACACTGTGCTCATGAAGGAAAACTACATCTTATTCAAGCGCAATGGTGAAGTGTACTTTGTGGCAGACATCTCAGAGCAGGGTCAGGCATTTGTGAGAGAGACTGGTTTCCCTTCTGCTGGTTCAGCACTGGTCTCTACAGCTGGGACTCTTCCCATTGACCTCAGCCTGATGCACAGGCGGCTTGGACATCACAGTGATACCAAGCTAGTCATGGATAAAGAGCTAGTTACTGGTGTGAGGCTTGCCTCTGCTAGGAAGCCAGACCCCATCTGTGAGCCATGCCTCTTTGGCAAGCTGAATGCTGGCCTGTTTCCTTCAACTGGTCATCGTTCTGGAGCGCCTCTTGATCTCATTCACTCTGATCTAAAGAGCTACTCTGTGCCCACCCGCGAGGGCTGGAAGCACAGGGTGACTTTTGTTGATGATCACACTGGCTTCAAGGTAGCATACCACATGAAGAACAAGAGTGAGACATTTGCAGCCCTTAAGATGTTTCAAGCGTATGCTGAGACTCACTGGGGGCTCAAGATCAAGGCATTCCAGGACAATAAAGGGGGAGAGTACATGTCTAATGAGTTCAGATCACATCTGGACAAGTGTGGCATTGTGCACCGCCATTCAGTCAGGGCACGGCCTCAGCAGAATGGGACAGCAGAGCGGTCTAACCGCACCGTTGATGAGCACTCCACTGCCATGTTACACGAAGCCAACCTGCCCCCTGCATTCAGGGCACTGGCGGTGTCTGCATACATCCATGTGTGCAACATGCACCCCACAGCTCGAGACCCCACCAGGACTCCCCATGAGCTGTGGTTCAAGGCTAAGCCTGATGTGTCACATCTTCGTGTTTGGGGATGCCTTGCCTATGTGCATGTGCAAAGAGACAAGAGAGGTCCTTCTGGGCATCATGTCCAGAAGTGTATCTTTGTAGGCTATCCTGCAGGGTACAAGGGATGGTTGTTCTTCAACCCAGAGACCCGGAAACTCGTTATCGCTGAGAGAGCAGTGTTTGATGAGCGCTACTTCCCAGGCAGCACCCCTCAAGCTATGAGGAGCTGTCCTGCGGCACCCCCCTCCTCCATGCTGGTGGATCCCCCTTGTGCTCCGGCACCGGTGTATGTCCCTGAGAACGATGGTGATGATGAGCAGCAACAGCCGCCTGCTCGTCCTCTCCCTGCACCACGAGTCCCATCTCCTGCAGCCAGCAGTGATGATGAAATCGACTTCTTGCATCAAGCTCCACCACCTCCATCTCCACCACTAGCTGGGGATGCCCCGCTTCACCCTCTACCCTCGCCTCCTCCTCCCCAATCTCCTATTGGGGTGGCAGCTCGTCGTGCTGCTGCTGGCATCCATCGTGTCCCTGCACCACCCAGGAGGGCTCCAGCTCCGGCTGCTGCTCCTCCCAGGCGCACCATGGCAGAGATCTTTGAAGAGATCCCTGAAGACCTCAGCGACGATGAGCTGCTTCTGAAGTCATCCTCTGCCCTTATTGTGGCTCGCGAGGGTGACCCCTCAGATCCCAAGCTGGCAGCAGCTCACGCCACTGCAGTGCAGTCCGCGTTGTCTGCTATAGCCTCTGGGAACCCCCGGTCGTTCTTTGAAGCGTCCAAGCAGGAGGATGGTCCACTATGGCGCGCTGCAGCTGCATCTGAGATTGACTCTCTGCTCAGCAACTGCACATGGGATGTGGTCGACTTGCCACAAGGGGTCAAGCCAATCCGCTCTCAATGGGTGTTTGTGATCAAACACAAGTCTGATGGCACTGTGGAACGCTACAAAGCCAGACTCGGGGCAGATGGTCGTGGCCAGCGCTATGGCATTGACTACCACGAGGTGTTTGCCCCCACCTTCCGCCCTGCTACTCTGCGCGTCATCCTTGCGCTTGCAGCCCAGAACAACCTCAAGCTGCGCTCCATCGACTTCTCTTCTGCCTATCTGAATGGGGACCTGGATGAGGATGTCTACATGACTCAGCCAGAAGGGTTCCCCCAGGGAGAGAAGGGCCAGGTCCTGAAGCTGAACCGGTCCATCTATGGACTGAAGCAGGCTGGCCGCTAGTGGCGCATCAAGTTGGTTGCCAAGCTGACTGCCATGGGGTTCAAGTGCATCAAGTCAGACAGCTCCTGCCACATCTACTCTGATGGTGTTGTGCGCGTTATTCTGCCCATCTATGTTGATGATGGCACCATTGCTGCAAAGCATGATGCTGACATTAACAAGGTCATTGCCCAGCTTGGCACGGCCTTCAAGGTGCGGGATCTGGGTCCTACAGAGTGGCTTCTGGGGATCAAGATAGAGCGTGATGCAGACACTGGAGACATCAGCATCTCCCAGCGCCAGTATGCTGTGAACCTTCTGGAGCAATATGGCATGGCTGACTGCAAGCCTGTGGACACCCCCATGCTGCCTGGCCTGTCTCTGACCAAGGAGATGGGAGCCAAGACTGAGGAGGAGTCCAAGCAGTTCAAGGGCAACTATCTGTCTGCTGTTGGCTCTCTGATGTACCTGGCCTGTCAGACTCGTCCTGACATCTCCTATGCTGTGGGGGTGCTAGCACGCTTCAACAGCAATCCTGGTGAAGAGCACTGGAAGGCTGTCAAGCACCTGCTTCGATACATCCAGGGCACCCTTGATTTCCGCATCACCTACTCCAAATCTTCCCCCACCCTCTATGACCCAGCCACCCACATCCATCCTGATGACCTCTTCACCACCTTCACTGATGCTGATCATGCTGGAGACAAGGACTCTATGAAAAGCACTGGGGGGTATGTCATTATGATGGCTGGTGGACCAGTGAGCTGGAGGAGCAAGCTGCAGTCCACTATCTCTCTGTCCACTACTGAGGCAGAGTATGTGGCTGGTGTGGATGCTGGGAAGGAGATCAAGTGGATGCGCAATCTGCTGCATGAGCTGGAGCATGGTGTGTCTGGGGCTTCTCCCTTGATGATGGACAACCAGTCTGCCATATCTGTGTCCAAGAATCCTGAACACCATGGGCGTATGAAGCATCTGGACCTTGCACACTACTGGCTCAGAGATGAAGTGGCCAGAGGGTTCATTGATGTGAAGTATGTGCCAACGCAGGACCAGCTGGCTGACATTATGACCAAGGCGCTGCCTCGGCCTCAGGTGGCAAGGTTGCGCACACTGATGAGATTGCGGGGGAGAGGCTGAGAGACTGATCTCATCCCGGGGGAGTGTTGGTGATGGGTTTTGGACTTGATCACTCTCTGGTGATTGGGTCACATGATCATCTGATTCCATCTGATCTTATCAATGATCACATCACTGATGATATCTGATTCCATCACTGTTCCCATCATTCCATCATTTTGGTCACATGACTTCTGATCACATGATTCCTGTACAGTCACATGCTCTATCCACATAGATAGTTCCTCCCTCCCTGGAGTTCTTCAGCTTCTTACTGTTGACTCCAGGTCTGTAGATTCTTTTCTTGTCTTGTCTGGCAATGCAGAGCTTCTTACTGTTGACTCCAGTCCTCTCTGCATTTCCTGCTTCAACAAGCTCATGGGGAGTTCTGGTGGGATCCCGAGCTGTAGGGTGCATGTTGCACACATGGATGTATGCAGACACCGCCAGTGCCCTGAATGCAGGGGGCAGGTTGGCTTCGTGTAACATGGCAGTGGAGTGCTCATCAACGGTGCGGTTAGACCGCTCTGCTGTCCCATTCTGCTGAGGCCGTGCCCTGACTGAATGGCGGTGCACAATGCCACACTTGTCCAGATGTGATCTGAACTCATTAGACATGTACTCTCCCCCTTTATCGTCCTGAAATGCTTTGATCTTGAGCCCCCAGTGAGTCTCAGCATACGCTTGAAACATCTTAAGGGCTGCAAATGTCTCACTCTTGTTCTTCATGTGGTATGCTACCTTGAAGCCAGTATGATCGTCAACAAAAGTCACCCTGTGTTTCCAGCCCTCGCGGGTGGGCACAGAATAGCTCTTTAGATCAGAGTGAATGAGATCAAGAGGCGCTCCAGAACGATGACCAGTCGAGGGAAACAGGCCAGCATTCAGCTTGCCAAAGAGGCATGGCTCACAGATGGGGTCTGGCTTCCTAGCAGAGGCAAGCCTCACACCAGTAACTAGCTCTTTATCCATGACTAGCTTGGTATCACTGTGGTGTCCAAGCCGCCTGTGCATCAGGCTGAGGTCAATGGGAAGAGTCCCAGCTGTAGAGACCAGTGCTGAACCAGCAGAAGGGAAACCAGTCTCTCTCACAAATGCCTGGCCCTGCTCTGAGATGTCCGCCACAAAGTACATTTCACCATTGCGCTTGAACAGGATGTAGTTCTCCTTCATGAGCACAGTGTAGTCATGGTGAACTGACAGGTATGTAGTGGAGATCAGATTGTGAGACAGAGCAGGGACATAGAGCACATTGGAGAGGATCACAGACCGGCTCCTGGCATGTCCATGGATCAGTGGCCTAAGCACTATCTCCCCCACAAGCTCTGAATAGACCACAAGTCCATTAGCCACTCTGATGGGTGCCCTATGAGGACGAGTGTTCTGCAGCAGGTGCACACAGTGTGTCATGTGTGATGTGGCACCAGAATCTGCAATCCATCGCAGCTCAGGGTCTGCAGTGGAGTGGGAGAGAAGGCTTGTATGAGTGGCCACTTCAGACTTGACTGCACCCTTTCTAGGCCTAGGCCTAGGCACAGGCACAGGCTCAGGCTCTGGCTCAGGCTCAGAAGCATTGTCCTCTAGGAGAGACAAAAACTCTGGGCATTTTAGAAGTGTGTGGCCATGTTGATAACAGGCATAACACAATGGCTGAGCAGAAGCAGGTGCAGCTGCCAAGGCAGCAGAAGTAGAAAAGACTGATGGATGAGAGTGGGAATTTGATGCCATGCTGTGCTCAAAAATGCGCCCAGAATGATGTAGGAGAAGTATGTATGTAGCTACAGGCTCTCAGGAGTGTGTTGATCTCAGGCACCTAGCTGTCTCAACCTCAGGATCACAGGAATGACTACCTGGTATTTCCTGATGGACCAAAGAGCACACCCACTTAAGGATAGAGTCCCAACTACTAGTGCCTGAACCACAGACACTATAAGAGCAGAGGAAAAAGAGAACAGAACAGGGAGCAGAGATGTCAACTGCAGTAGCAGGACTGGGGCAGGCAGGCAGCAGGCAGAGAAAATCAGAGAATGGAAAAAACTCGAAAATCTCAGAATAGATGACTCAGAGGCACTCTAGAGGCAGGGGCCCATAACCTGTTGAAGCAGGAAATGCAGAGAGGACTGGAGTCAACAGTAAGAAGCTCTGCATTGCAAGACAAGACAAGAAAAGAATCTACAGACCTGGAGTCAACAGTAAGAAGCTGAAGAACTCCAGGGAGGAAGGAACTATCTATGTGGATAGAGCATGTGACTGTATAGGAATCATGTGATCAGGAGTCATGTGACCAGAATGATGGAATGATGGGAACAATGATGGAATCAGATATCATTAGTGATGGAATCAGTGATAAGATCAGATGGAATCGGGTGATCATGTGACCCAATCACCAGAGAGTGATCAAGTCCAAAACCCATCCTCAACATAATTGGGGTGGCAGCTCGTCGTGCTGCTGCTGGCATCCATTGTGTCCCTGCACCACCCAGGAGGGCTCCAGCTCCGGCTGCTGCTCCTCCCAGGCGCACCATGGCAGAGATCTTTGAAGAGATCCCTGAAGACCTCAGCGACGATGAGCTGCTTCTGAAGTCATCCTCAGCCCTGATTGTGGCTCGCGAGGGTGACCCCTCAGATCCCAAGCTGGCAGCAGCTCACGCTACTGCAGTGCAGTCCGTGTTGTCTGCTGTAGCCTCTGGGAACCCCAGGTCGTTCTTTGAAGCGTCCAAGCAGGAGGATGGTCCATTATGGCGCGCTGCAGCTGCATCTGAGATTGACTCTCTGCTCAGCAACTGCACAAGGGATGTGGTCGACTTGCCACAAGGGGTCAAGCCAATTCGCTCTCAATGGGTGTTTGTGATCAAACACAAGTCTGATGGCACTGTGGAACGCTACAAAGCCAGACTTGTGGCAGATGGTCGTGGCCAGCGCTATGGCATTGACTACCACGAGGTGTTTGCACCCACCTTCCGACCTGCTACTCTGCGCGTCATCCTTGCCCTCGCTGCCCAGAACAACCTCAAACTGCGCTCCATCGACTTCTCTTCTGCCTATCTAAATGGAGACCTGGATGAGGATGTCTACATGACTCAGCCAGGAGGGTTCCCCCAGGGAGAGAAGGGCTAGGTCCTGAAGCTGAACCGGTCCATCTATGGGCTGAAGCAGGCTGGCCGCCAGTGGCGCATCAAGTTGGTTGCCAAGCTGACTGCCATGGGGTTCAAGTGCATCAAGTCTGACAGCTCCTGCTGTTGATGTGTGGATATTGTATGTGCTTGGTTCGGACAAAGGGTGTGACATTACTCTGTGACGCATAGTATATAGCATCAGATCAATGTGACCTACTGGGCTTTTCGTCTCCCATCTGTGCCCCTAGCCTCCTGCGGCTCCCATCTGAGTTTTCTGTGTTCAACAGGTTATGGGCCCCGCTCTGACCCATCTTTAAACCCTCTTCTTCTCCCCCTGCCCCTCATTGGCCTTCCCCTTGCTGCGCATTTTTCCGATCTTGCCTGATCTCCCTTCTGCCACCATCTACCACCATCTGCCACCCCCAGGACTACCATTTTGACCTCATCCACTACTGCTACACTTTATAACCATGTTGGAGGAAGGGATTAGGATGGATCAGCCAGATCTTGGGTGGAGATGTTGGGGAGGGTGTCAGATTCATGCAGATGAGTTCACAGCTACCACACAGCTGCTACATACACACATTCTCTTGGAGTGCCCCCTGCTTCACCACTCTCTCTCAGCCACTCTCCCTGCCCCCCCTCCCTGCCCCCCACTCCTCCCTCCTCTGCTGATTTCGATGGATTCCGGCGAATTTTGCTCTGTGCTGCTGCCCCTTGCACACACCAGTCCCCAGCACCCTACCCTGTCTTGTGAAGGCCGAAAATCGCATTGGATCCCCTTGGATCTTGTTGGATCTTGGTGGATTGGCCAGATCTTGTTAGATCTCCCTGGATCTCTGCTGCATCTCTGCAGATCGACTTGGATGCTGAAGAAGACTCGAATTGGGTGCAGGGGCTGTCTGGATTTTCGAGGATCTGGTGGACTTCAATTGGGTAGGAGTGGGAGTGTCTCAGTTGGGTGGGAGTGGCTGGGTTTTTGGATTGCTTTGTCCTCTCAAGGGTGGGAGTGTTGATGTGTGGATATTGTATGTGCTTGGTTCGGACAAAGGATGTGACATTACTCTGTGACGCATGGTATATAGCATCAGATCAATGTGACCCACTGGGCTTTTCGCCTCCCATCTGTGCCCCTAGCCTCCTGCGGCTCCCATCTGTGTTTTCTGTGTTCAACAGGTTATTGGCCCCGCCCTGACCTATCCATCTACCCTTTTCCTTGCTCCCTCTGCGCATTCTTCGCTCTTTTTTTGCTCTTTTTGCTTCTCCCCTTTGTTCCGGTTTTCCCCGACGCTCCTACCGCTTCTCCCTGCACCACCATGGCCCCTACTATCACCTCAGCCCTCACCATTGTTCTCACCACTGTTCCTATGCTGGGGAAGGACAACTGGGCCAAGTTTGGGAAGGGATTCAAGGTGTTTTTGCTGGGAGTGGACGCACTTTGGGTTATGGGGAAAGGGCCAAAAGCAGATGAGTCTGACCAAGTTGCTCTGGACAGAATGCTCCTCCCCTACCTCTACACCAAGATAGAGGAGCAGTACCAGCCTCTCATCGATGATTTCGAGTCTGCCACTGCTGCCTGGGCTGCCCTCAAGGCCCACTTCGAAAAATCGAGCATGAGCACCAGGATGGCTGCCAGGGCTGAGCTGCACTCTATCCCCCATGACCCCACCAAGGAAATCGATGTCTACATTCGAGCTGTGGGAGATGCAGTGAAGAAACTGGCTGCCATGGGTGTTTCTATCGATTCCACCATCCACAAAGATGTCCTGCTCATGAATCTTCACCCAGCCTTCCACACAGTCCGCACCATCCTCCTTGCACGCTCTCCTGAGCCCAAACTCGAAGACTGCATCACCCAGCTTGCCAGCTCAAGCTCAGACCCTGGAGTGGTTCTCAAAATCGAAGATGGCGATATTTCGAGCCTGGCCCTGGCTGCATCGGCGCCACGTCGAGGCACAGCATCTGCCACGTCATCATACACCTCCCCCATCACTGGTAGCGTTGCCCAGGACGGATTTCCGCTGGATTCTCAAGGTTTTCGTTGGTGTGACCCTACCACCAGGGGCTGCCATCGCTGTGGACGCACTGGCCACATTGCTCACAAGTGCATGCACACCATGCCCACCTTTGTGAAGGACTGGATCCTGGCTAATGGCAAGAGCAGCTCTGCTTCTGCAGCTTTCTCTGCTGCACTGGAGGCAGGTCTGACCAGGGAGAGCTTCTTTGAGATGTGGGATGAGTTCCAGATGTCCAATGAAGCGGAGATTGGTGGTGGGCCTAGTGGACCATTTCTGTATCCAAGACGGACTTAGATTGGGTGGGAGTGGCCTTGGATTTGGTGGGAGTGTTCTGTTTGATTGCTTTTGTCTTCCCAAGGGTGGGAGTGTTGAAGTGTGGAAGGGATGTCTTGCTTGGTTCAGACAAAAGAGTGTTACTTAGCTATGTGACCATCAGTACATAGCCCTAGATCAATGTGACAGACTGGGCTTTTCGCCTCCCATCTGTGCCCCTAGCCTCCTGCGGCTCCCATCTGTGTTTTCTGTGTTCAACTCATGACTCAGCCAGAAAGGTTCCCCCAGGGAGAGAAGGGCCAGGTCCTGAAGCTGAACCGGTCCATCTATGGGCTGAAGCAGGCTGGCCGCCAGTGGCGCATCAAGTTGGTTGCCAAGCTGACTGCCATGGGGTTCAAGTGCATCAAGTCAGACAGCTCCTGCCACATCTACTCTGATGGTGTTGTGCGCGTGATCCTGCCCATCTATGTTGATGATGGCACCATTGCTGCAAAGCATGATGCTGACATTAACAAGGTCATTGCCCAGCTTGGCACGGCCTTCAAGGTGCGGGATCTGGGTCCCACAGAGTGGCTTCTGGGGATCAAGATAGAGCGTGATGAGCACACTGGAGACATCAGCATCTCCCAGCGCCAGTATGCTGTGAACCTCCTGGAGCAGTATGGCATGGCTGACTGCAAGCCTGTGGACACCCCCATGCTGCCTGGCCTGTCTCTGACCAAGGAGATGGGAGCCAAGACTGAGGAGGAGTCCAAGCAGTTCAAAGGCAACTATCTGTCTGCTGTTGGCTCCCTGATGTACCTGGCCTGTCAGACTCGCCCTGACATCTCCTATGCTGTGGGGGTGTTAGCACGCTTCAATAGCAATCCTGGTGAAGAGCACTGGAAGGCTGTCAAACACCTTCTGCGATACATCCAGGGCACCCTTGATTTCCGCATCACCTACTCCAAATCCTCGCCCACCCTCTATGACCCAGCCACCCACATCCATCCTGACGACCTCTTCACCACCTTCACTGATGCTGATCATGCTGGAGACAAGGACTCCATGAAAAGCACTGGGGGGTATGTCATTATGATGGCTTGTGGACCAGTGAGCTGGAGGAGCAAGCTGCAGTCCACCATCTCTCTGTCTACCACTGAGGCAGAGTATGTGGCTGGTGTGGATGCTGGGAAGGAGATCAAGTGGATGCGGAATCTGCTGCATGAGCTGGAGCATGGTGTGTCTGGGGCTTCTCCCTTGATGATGGACAACCAGTCTGCCATATCTGTGTCCAAGTATCCTGAGCACCATGGGCGTATGAAGCATCTGGACCTGGCACACTACTGGCTTAGAGATGAAGTGGCAAGAGGGTTCATTGATGTGAAGTATGTGCCAACGCAGGACCAGCTGGCTGACATTATGACCAAGGCGCTGCCTCGGCCTCAGGTGGCAAGGTTGCGCACACTGATGAGATTGCGGGGGAGAGGCTGAGAGACTGATCTCATCCCGGGGGAGTGTTGGTGATGGGTTTTGGACTTGATCACTCTCTGGTGATTGGGTCACATGATCATCTGATTCCATCTGATCTTATCACTGATTCCATCACTAATGATATCTGATTCCATCATTGTTCCCATCATTCCATCATTTTGGTCACATGACTTCTGATCATATGATTCCTGTACAGTCACATGCTCTATCTACATAGATAGTTCCTCCCTCCCTGGAGTTCTTCAGCTTCTTACTGTTGACTCCAGGTCTGTAGATTCTTTTCTTGTTTTCTCTTGCAATGCAGAGCTTCTTACTGTTGACTCCAGTCCTCTCTGCATTTCCTGCTTCAACAAGATGGTGGCAGAATGGAGATCAGGCAAGATTGGAAAAATGCGCAGCAAGGAGAAGGCTAATGAGGGGCAGGGGGAGAAGAAGAGGGTTTAAAGATGGGTCAGAGCGGGGCCCATAACCTGTTGAACACAGAAAACTCAGATGGGAGCCGCAGGAGGCTAGGGGCACAGATGGGAGGCGAAAAGCCCAGTAGGTCACATTGATCTGATGCTATATACTATGCGTCACAGAGTAATGTCACATCCTTTGTCCGAACCAAGCACACACAAAATCCACACATCAACAATGCCCTGCAACGCGGGTGTTGTGGTGCTCCTCGAGGATGCATCAGCGGAGGTCGTTGTTGCGTGGAACCACCAGCTTGCCACAGAAGTAGAGCAGGCTGCCTTCTTTTCGCCACTTCGCAGCCCGAGCAGAGCGAACTCCACGTTCCTTGAGGAGCTCACGTGCTGCCAACATAATGGGCACCTCCATGTCGGGGGTACCGGCGAGGGCCTCCTGGATGTTGCGCAGGAGAGGGGCTTCGGGTCCAGAGACAGTGAGACCCTCCAAGGCCCGGACATGGAACAGCTCCGGGCGCAGCAGTGTGACGTCTGCGTTGTCCGAAGCGACTCCGTGGTCGGGGCAGCGCAAGAGAGCATCCGAGCGGCCCATGAGGCGGCCCATGAGGCGGCCAGGTTGGTGGTGCAGGGTGAAGTCGAAGCGAGACAGATAGAGGGACCAGCGGGCTTGACGACGGTTGAGATTCTGGGCCTTCCGGAAGTACTCCAGATTTTTGTGGTCGGTCCAGATCTTGACGGGGTGCTCGGCGCCCTCGAGGCAGTGTCGCCACTTCTCCAAGGCGCGGACAATAGCGAGCATCTCCTTGTCGTGGATTTCGTAGTTCCGCTGGACCTCGTTAAGACTCTTCGAGAAGAAGGCAACCGGATGCCACTTGTCATCCACGGGGGACTGCTGCGAGATGACAGCACCGGTCGCAAAGTCCGAACTGTCTGCTTCGAGGCAGTAAGACCTGGAAGCATCCGGGAGCTGCAGGACTGGGGTAGAGGTAACAGCGTTCTTCAGCGCAAGAAACGCAGCTGCCTTGTTGACGCCCCAAGTCCATGCCACATCCTTCTTGGTGAGGTCAAAGAGAGGACGGGCAATGTGCAAAAAATCCCGGATGAACCTCTGGTAGAAGTTAGTGAAGCCGAGGAACTGCTGCACCTCCTTCTTGTTAGCCGGAGCTGGCCACTCCGCCACACCTGTGACCTTGACCGGGTCCATCTCCACATGGTTGTGGGAAATGATCACCCCAAGGTATTCAATCGACAGCATCTCGAACTTGCATTTCTCCGCGCGAAGGTAGAGCTTGTTCTCGCGGAGACGTCGGAGTACTTTGTTCACAATTTCCCGGTGATAGTGGATATTGGAATGTGCAATGAGAATGTCATTGAGGTACACCATAACGTCGCCAGAAAGAATGAGGTCCTGAAGTATGTCATTCATCATTGTCTGGAACGTTGCGGGGGAATTGGTCAGGCCGAAATATATCACCAACGGCTCAAAGAGCCCGCGGTTTGTCCGAAACGCTGCCTTCCACTCGTTGCCTTGACGAATGCGCACGTTGTTGAAGCCCCAGCGAACGTCGAGTTTGGTGAAGAACCGAGCTCCCTTGAGCTTGTTGATGAGATCATTGATCAGGGGGAGCGGGTAGCGGTTCTTCACTGTCATCACATTTAGTGCTTGGTAATCTTGGACAAACTGTAAGCTGCCGTCTTTCTTCTTCACGAAGAAGACGGGAGACGCCATGGGCGATTTTGACGGCCAAATCCTGCCAGTAGCCATGCCCTCCTCAATGAAGCTGTCGAGCTGCTTCTGTTCGAGAGGGGAGATGTGTTGATGTGTGGATATTGTATGTGCTTGGTTCGGACAAAGGGTGTGACATTACTCTGTGACGCATAGTATATAGCATTAGATCAATGTGACCTACTGGGCTTTTCGCCTCCCATCTGTGCCCCTAGCCTCCTGCGGCTTCCATCTGTGTTTTCTGTGTTCAACAGGTTATGGGCCCCGCTCTGACCCATCTTTAACTTCTCTTCTTCTCCCCCTGCCCCTCGTTGGCCTTCCCCTTGCTGCGCATTTTTCCGATCTTGCCTGATCTCCATTCTGCCACCATCTGCCACCATCTGCCTGTTGATACAATGGCTGAACCAGGAATTGAACCTGGGACCTCTGACTTGGATCGTCCGGTGCTCTAACCACTGAGCTATTCTGCCTTGGTGCTGGGATTCCCAACTCCAACACTGCCACCCCCAGGACCACCATTTCGACTTCATCCACCACTGCTACACTGTACAACCATGTTGGAGGAAGGGATTAGGATGGATCAGCCAGATCTTGGGTGGAGATGTTGGGGAGGGTGTCAGATTCATGCAGATGAGTTCACAGCTACCACACAGCTGCTACATACACACATTCCCCTGGAGTGCCCCCTGCTTCACCACTTTTCCTCTGCCACTCTCCCTGCCCCTACACCTCCCTCCTTTCCTGATTTCAATGGATTTCGATGGATTTCACTCTGTGCTGCTGCCCCTTGCACACACCAGTCCCCAGCACCCTACCCTGTCTTGTGAAGGCCGAAAATCGCATTGGATCCCCTTGGATCTTGTTGGATCTTGGTGGATTGGCCAGATCTTGTTAGATCTCCCTGGATCTCTGCTGGATCTCTGCAGATTGACTTGGATGCTGAAGAAGACTCAAATTGGGTGTAGGGGCTGTCTGGATTTTCGAGGATCTGGTGGATTTCAATTGGGTGGGAGTGGGATTGTCTCAGTTGGGTGGGAGTGGCTAGGTTTCTGGATTGCTTTGTCCTCCCAAGGGTGGGAGTGTTGATGTGTGGATATTGTATGTGCTTGGTTCGGACAAAGGGTGTGACATTACTCTGTGACACATAGTATATAGCATTAGATCAATGTGACCTACTGGGCTTTTCGCCTCCCATCTGTGCCCCTAGCCTCCTGCGGCTCCCATCTGTGTTTTCTGTGTTCAACAAGATGGGGTAGACCTTACAGTTGGTCGGCTTCGCGTCAGGAACCAGTTCAATGGCGTGATCCCAGGGGTGTTGCTCTGGCAGGTTGTCGAAGGACTCCTTGCTGAAAACATCTTCGAACTCGCGGGCCCACTCGGGGATGGTATCCTGAGGAGGTGCAGAGTTCTTAGCAAACGCCTCGGCGAGTCGCTGAGAGATGGTGCTGGTGGCTCGGATGTTTTCAGAAGGGTTGAAGCGGGTGTAAAAGATACGGTCACCGGCTTCCAAGGAGTCATCATCTTCTTTGACATCTTCAGGGTCATAATCGTCCGAGTCTGGTGAAAGCTCCGGTATCTCTTCGTCCTCGTGGTCCTCAACGTCGACAGCGCAGATGGGTGGAACCGGACCTTGTCTGATGGTGCGAAGCACCCGGGCCGCGGTTCTGGCAGATCGACGTTCTTTGCAAAGTTTCTCCCGGCAGGTGGAGCAACCGGAAGGGCAATGGCTCATCTTTACCTCCTGGGTATCCCAGTTGATCTCCGGGTTGTGCTTCCAGAGCCAGGAGTACCCTAGAATGAGCTGCTGCTTGCCTAAACGGGTGACAGCAAGCTGCACGCGTTCACTGTGGCCCTGGTAACGGAGAACCACATCAGCGACTTCGCGAATGGAACCAGCCTTGTTTGGCATGCTGTCCATGTTGTAAACGGGGATAGGCTGGGTGAGGCGATAAACGGGGAGGTGATTTTCGAGGACGTAGGCCAAGTCGATGAAGTCGGATGTGGCACCACAATCGACCAGGCCTTTGAGAGATAACTTCACTGCATTGTCAGTGGACTCGATCTCGAGGGGGAGGTGGAGAGAATTGGCCCCGGGAGAGGCGGCAGCGACATAGCAGGAAGGGAGCTTGCGTTCCCACTTCTCCTTACGGACTCGTGGGGTTAGAGGGGGAGCAGGGTGTACGTCTATCGCTTCAACTGTTGCAGAGTGGAGGGAATTGGATTCATCATACAGACAGGAGAAACGATTACGTGAAGTGAACGAGGGCGTACTACTCACTCGTTGCTGGGGAGAAAACCCTGCTCCTCCTCGGCTGCAACGTTGGACGCATGATCCGCAACGGCTGCAGTGGTTGCGACCCAAGCGACCAACTCGGAAAGCAGATCACTCCCCAGCTGATTGATGACCTCATCAAGGACATCAGCGTGATGTATGTCAGCTGGGGTGGGGCAGTCACGGGCAAGATGACCCGGACTGCTGCAGCGGAAGCAGGTGCGTCAAATGTCACCACGGAGCCGGGCCCGGTCTACCTCCATGGGAATTGGATGGGCGACAGGGGCGGGCACCGGGCGGGCAGCGAGGGCCGGTGCTACAGCAGGGAGCACCGGGGCACGAGGACGGGGGGCAACAGCAGGTGCCCGGGGAGGAGGCGCTGCGTGGCCTCGAGAAGCTCTGGCAGCGAGTTCCGCATTGTACTGCCGGAACGCATGGACATGCCATTCGGCTGGGTTGGATTGTTTTCTCTGCCAGTCTCTCAGGACGTCCTTCACGTGGGTAAGGTGACGTGATGGTTCCCAGGTGTTCTCGCTGTGCGGCCATCCCTTCCATTTGACCAAGTACTGTTTTCCTCAGCCGACTTTTCGCTCTTTCATGATTTCTTCGACTTCCCACTCCTCCGCTCCTCCGATCATCTTGGCTACGGGTCTCTTCTCTCGGCGATGGGGGGTGGTTCGTGATAGGGTGTCAACAGTGATTTGTTGAACACGGGGTGTCTTCGGTCCGTATCCGGTAGATTCAGCTTCCATGCGGCCGCTCCAACCTTCTCCAGTATCTCGTATGGTCCCAATCTCTTGTCGCTCATCTTCTTCGATGGTCTGTCCGTCTCGATATTTTCCCCTTCTATGTACACTTTCATCCCAACCTTCAACTCCGGAACTTCTTTTCTTTGTTTATCGTAGTATTTTTTCATTTTTTCATTTGCTTTTTCCAATGCTGCTTTTGCTTCGTCTTGTATCTCTTTGATTCTTTTTACAAATTCCTCCGCCGACTCGTTTCTCGATTCCATCCGCTGCTCTACTCCCTTCCATGGGTGATATCCATGATTGGCGTAGAATGGTGATATTTTGGTAGACGTGTTCATTTTGTTGTTATATGCGAATTCCACCATTCCCAGCCACTCCGACCAGTCCGTCTGATGGTAGTTGACGTATATGCGGAGATAGTGCTCGATCTCCTGATTCATGCGCTCGGTTTGCCCATCCGTGATCGGGTGATATGCGGTCCCCAGGTTCATCTCCACGCCCAACATCCGGTTCGTCTCCCTCATGAAGCCCTTGATGTATCGTGAGTCCCTATCGGTGATGATTTTGCGAGGGATCCCGTGATAACGGAAAACCCGGTCCCTTGTCAACCGTGCTACTCCTTCGCTGCTGATGTCAGTACTAATTGGTTCGACATGGATCATTTTGGTGAAGGTGTCACACCACACATGGATTGCATCATACCCGTTACTGACCGGTAGGGGTCCGATTTGATCCATGGAGATGATTTCCCATGGTGCGTTTGGAACCGCATGCGGGTGTAGGGTCCCCGTTCTTGCCCTTCTGGTCTTGGTCCGTTGGCATGCCTCGCACGTCTGGATGTATTTCCGAATTTGGTTCTCCATCCTTGGCCACCAGTAGTTCCTTTCCACCATCTCCTGCGTTCGGTTGATCCCTGCATGTCCGACCAGGGGTGTGTCGTGGTGTAGCCCAATGATCTTGTCCCGCAGCTCCTCATCCCTTGGCACATAGAGCTTCTCATGATACGTGATGAGCCCATCTTCCTTCTTCCATCCGACGAGTGACTTCTCCAAGGCCGCTTTGACGCTCCCGTCAATCGATTGAAGGGCCTTGATCTCATCGATTAGCTGTTGATCCTGCCCTTCAAATGTGACTTCTTGTGATCGGAAGAACTCAGGCTTCAGTAACGTGACATCCTTGTTGTCGTTTTTGCCCTGATCGTGATCCGCTCGTCGAGATAGGAGATCCGCCTTGCGGTTGAGTGCGCCGGGTCGGTGTTGTAGGGTGAAATCAAACTCCGCTAGCTCCGTGATCCATCGTGCTTGCCGTTGGTTGAGTTTCTGCGGTTTTCGGAAGTACTCGAGATTCTGATGATCGGTGAAGATTTCAAACGTTTCCGTGGCCCCCAGCAGTAATTGCCTCCATTCGTCTAACGATAGCATGATGGCGAGCATTTCCTTGTCGTAGATCTCATAATTTCGCTCGGTTTCAGTCAATGCGTGCGAAATAAATGCGATTGGGCGCTGAATGCCGTCTTGATTTTGGCTCAAAACGGATCCTGTTGCCCCTTCCGAAGCATCGGCTTCCAGACGATATTGGCCGGTGTCATTTGGCAGTGCTAGGACCGCATCCTCCGCGATTCTCTTCTTTAATCCATCAAATGCTGCGCGCTCATCTGTACCCCATGACCATCCTGCCTTCCCTGTCAGCCGTGTCAACGGCTTGGCTACCTCCGCATATCCCCGAACGAAGCGGCGATAGAAGTTTGTGAATCCGAGGAAGGCTTGGACCTGTTTGACGCTCTTTGGTTCTGGCCATTCCATCACGCCCTTGATCTTGACTGGATCCATCCGCATCGAATTGTGCCCAATAATAACACCCAGATATTCGATTTCTGTGCGTTCGAACTCGCACTTTTCGGGTTTCAGGTACAACTTGTGTTTTTGGAGCAATTCGAGTACTCGTTTCGTGATCCGCTGATGTTCGTCCAAGGTTTCTGTGAAGATCAGAATATCGTCAAGATAAACTACCACGTGGCCCTCGTTGATCAGTTCTCGGAGTATGTCGTTCATCATGTTTTGGAAGGTTGCCGGAGAATTCGTGAGGCCAAAGAACATGACCAAGGGCTCATACAGCCCACGGTTTGTGCGGAACGCAGCCTTCCATTCGTCGCCCTCTTTGATCCGTACGTTGTTGTATCCCCACCGGATGTCAAGCTTTGTGAAGAACTTGGCGCCGCATAGATTATGGACCAGTTCGGAGATCAGC